GTTGGTGTTCCCTTGAGACTGTTCCCCCAAGGCCCTAGTTTGCAAGGTTCCTACCCCTACGAGTCTGCTGTTCAGGAGCTTAAGCTTCTCGTTACAGACTACTGCCCACAGAAGAAGCTGGAGTGTCTTGGTGAGTCAGACTGTGTTGTTTTTTAATTCTTCCTCATACAGATGCTTACTTGTAGGACCGATGGCTTCTCTGGCACACTGTCTACACCAGTGGTCCCCAACCTTTTTATCACTGCGGACCGGTCAACGCTTGACAATTTTACCGCGGCCCTGGGGGGGGGTTACATAGATTGTTTATATTGTTAATATAATAATAAACGTGAATCCACTGTGCTGAAATTTTTAACTCCCGATAACGCTAAATCAATGGGAGCCCTGAAATTGTTTCTCTGCAACGAGACGGTCCCATCTGGGGGTAATAGGAGACAATGACACCCAAAGTGTGTTGCTTATGTTCAGTCTACTCCGTTGTTTTGTTTTGGTTGCTGTCACTGCAGAAAAACCGGCTTCACACAGATAGGATGTCGGAAATGGCAACAGGGTTTTCAGTGCTGTGGTGGCGATCTCAGGGTATTCTGTCATGACTTTAATCCAGAACACCGACAGAGTTGTTGTCTCGAACATACTTTTAAGGCCGGAGTTGTTGTCTCGAACATACTTTTAAGGCTGCCGTCATTTGCGATCTCCAGCACTTAATCTTCTTCTTGCACAGACCTGCTGGATTCACCTGGTTTGTTGACAAATGGGTTGCGGATCCATTCCTTGGCAGTTCGTGGGTCCTTTGTGGTTGGGAAGTAGCGCTCGAACTCTTTTAAAATCAAAGACAGGTGATCGTGCACCAGCTGGGAGAATGAAGGCTCAGGCTCAGTCTCACCCCAAATCCCCGCTAATGTTTGAAACATGTCCAAAATACCTCTGTTGACGCGCCGTACGCACAAATCCAGTTTGGCTTTAAATGCAGCTACTTTATCTGCCAACTTGAAGACAGTTGTCATTTTCCCCTGAAGTGACAGATTGAGTTCATTGAGCAGGCTGAATATGTCCACAAGTAAGCCAGTTTTGGCGCTCAAGTGACCGAGATGTAACCGAGAGAATACGGTCATTTTTCAAAATAATAGATTGTTCAGACTCAGATAATAAATAAAACGGAAATAATTAATGATTTCTTGTGCGGCCCGGTACCAATTGATCCACGGACCGGTACCGGTCCGCGGCCCAGGGGTTGGGGACCACTGGTCTACACCACAAGCGTTTCAGCTGCGTTTTAGATCTGCGTGTAAGACGCAGGTCATGCAACTGATACGCTCCTCTGTTAATCAGTCCAGCTGTCTGCACTGCCTGCGTCGGCTCGCTTTACACACATAGCTGAGACACAAAGCATGTTTTTTACGCTTCGTCTATGTTTACAGAACTGCGAGCATAAGCCTCTTCACAGAAATCACCAAAGCTCACTAGCTGCAACCATAACTCCACCAAAATAAAGAAATACATCATCATCATCAACTTTATTTATATAGCACGTTTAACACAGCCGAAGCTGACCAAAGTGCTTAACACAATATCACTAAAACACAATAAAACAAGCAGAAGCAATAAACACAACAATAAAACAGGATCACACTAAAACAACCACCCATCATAAAACAAAAAAACTCAACAAGACAGAGGCTCATACTGGTTCAAACGCCAAACGGTACAGATGAGCCTTCAAATAAGTTTTAAAAGTGGACAACGAGGGGGCCTGCCTAATGTAAAGGGGCAATGCATTCCACAACTTAGGAACCCCTCGGGGGCACGGAGAGGGGCTATAGGGATGCAGCAATTCTGTAAGATAAAGGGGGGCCAGGCCATTTAAAGACTTAAAAACAGATATAAGAATTTTAAAGTGAATTCTAAAACACGCCGGCAGCCAATGTAGAGAAGCCAAAATGGGTGTGATATGATCCCTTTTGCGCCCTCCAACCAGTAGACGAGCAGCAACATTTTGGACTCTCTGAAGGCAGGCAAGGGACGCCTGACTGAGCCCAAAATATAGCGCATTACAGTAATCCAGACGAGATGTAATGAATGCATGTATTACTGACTCGAAATGCTGCCACGAAAGAAAAGGCTTGACCTTTGCCAGCTGCCGGAGATGATAAAAACTGGCCCGTACAACCGCATTCACCTGATGTTCCATTCTAAAATCAGAGTCTATTTTAACACCCAGGTTTGTAACGGTC